GAGCCGGGCAGCAGGCCGGCGCCGTACAGGCAGGAGCGCACCGACTCCAACGTGTCGTAGATGCTGGGGTCCTTCACCACCAGGCCTGCCAGGGCAGGAGACACGAGGGACGGCCGTCAGCGGCCTGCACTGCTCGGGGACCTCAGCAGCTTCCTCTTAACCGTCTATGTGGCCCCGCAAGTCACAACCCTGAACTCCACTCCCCTGTCTGTAAAACGGGAATTATATATTCAGATCCTTGGAGGACCACTTATGATACATGAGCCACGGAAGAGATTTAAAACTTGCTATTTGAGCCTTGGTGTGCCCATCTGTAAAATGGAGATACTACCTACTACTTACCTTCAGAGGGCTACTGAGAATAAAAGTGTGTGTGCATCAGCCCAGGGCGGTATTGTACCCAAAGTAGTAGCTCAGCAAACCTTTCTGCACTTTGGAGGGGGACCTAACCCGCTGTTCTGAGGGGAAAGCGTGGCTGAGGGTATAAAGGTATCAGTAGGGGCACAAGTTGCCCTTCACAGTTCAATGTACTCACCGTGCACCAGCCGCTGCTCCTGCACCATTAGGGACCTGTATTCTCCCCACTTCTCATACAGGGTTTGCTGCAAGAGACACCACCCGCCTCACTGTCAGGAGCCAGCCAGAAACTAGCAGGAGGTAAGCACAGACTGAGGGAGTACACAGAGGAAACCTTAAGGTTAAAGGAGGTTCAGACAGATAAATGACCCCCTGAAAAAGAGTGGGGCCTGCAGAGGCAGGGACTTGCGAAGAGGATGGTGAAAGCTGGACATTATCTGGGCTGCTTTACCTTTAGGTACTGCAGACGAGCCTCCAACTCCGCCTTCCGAATTGATGTTCCGTACAGAGTTTCCAGCCTGAGGAGGTTGGGCAATCAAAGGCTGAGTGAGCCCCCAGGGTGCAGAAACACCAAGACAGGCTGAGCTCAGGACTCACAGGGACCCTGGCACCTGGACATACCTGAGAACGTTGCCAGATGCCTTAATGATGTCAACAATCTCTCGATGCCGGATACCTTCCACATTCAGGCCGTTGACACTAGCGATGGTGTCCCCTGCCAGGAAGAGAGGGCATCAGCATCTGCTCCATGGGGCATGACGGAAGAATTCCAGCCCTCTGCCTTAGCCAGAAAGGGTAGGGGTAATAACCCCACACAATAATCCTGAACTCTCCCCTCCCCACTCCTCATGGTTCTGGGGAGAACTTGTCTAGGCCTAGCACCACAGCTTAGGGACTGGGGCCCTCCTAAACCCACACTCTCCCTCCACCCTCAGGAAGCTCTGTCCCCAAAGGCTGAGCCCTCCCAGCAACTTTGGGCTGCCCTCAGAGTTGGTTATTTTGGACTAGCCCAAAGGCTGTCATGAGACCCAGACAAGACAGGAAGGGGGCAGGGTGAGTAGCACAAAGCTAAGAACTAACACTGGCCCCAGGCATGAGAGCTTCTGATACCCTGTGCTATTGCAGAGCCTCCTGACCTCAGGCAGGGCAAGCCACCATCTCTGAGAGTTCATTTCCCACCTGTAAAAAAAGGTTGTGGATCCCTGCTGTGCCTACCTGGGGTCAGGAAGGAGAATGGATGTGACACTACTTTGCAAAGTTGCAATACACCACTTGGCTACCAGGGGTTGCTGGTAAGTGGGCAAAGAGGTGAGGGTTTAGGGAAGAAAATGGTAATAGAATGGGAGGAGGTTTCAATTTATGCAGTTTCAGGCTGCCCCTTCCTGGGAGATTTGGTCAATCCCAAGGGTCTCCTACTGGAGGCATCATTTGCTTGTTAGAGAAAGTAACACAGGTACCCCAGAGTTGGGCCAGATCAGGGGCAGGATAGGCCCTGATCCACAATATCAGGCAGATCTATGGGAATGTTGCTCCTTCCCCAACTCCTGCCAGAGCTGGATTGTCAGATTGTCAGGAGGAGGCAGGACAGCAATATCGGGCATTTACCAGGCCCTGGCCGTGTCCAGGGAACCTCCTCACCACACTGTAATGTGAGGACATGTTCTTGCCCAGGTTTATAGATGGGATTGCTCAAGATCACACAGTAAATGGCAAATTTGCCTGGATCCAAAGCCTGGAATCTACCCATTCCTGTTTTTGGCCTTCCTAAAACAGCGCAAGGAAGAGGAATTGATTTTAGAAGAGATGTACTGCCCTCTCTGCTTGGGAGTAAGGTGAGACCCTCTTCCCAGAGACCTGTGTCCTGAGCTCAGGCCCCACCTGGCGTGAGCCCTGCCAGCTGGGCGGGGCTTGACTCATGAACCCGGCAGACAAAAGTCACCATCTCCACACGCTGCTCCTCGCGGTGGTGAAGGCCATAAGTCTGCAACAAACAAGGGGACCCTCAGTCCTGGGTTGGCGCAGGGTCCATCCATTTCTCAGACTAGCCTCCCAACCCCTCACTTGCTTGGTACCCAGCTTCTCCCACCTGGATTTCAAAGCCGAAGGTCTGGTTTTCCTCCTTCTTCAAAGTCAGCACTTTCCTGCAGGAGACAGGGGCCATCTTATCAAGACTGTCAGAATTAAAAGGAGCTTGGCAGTCCCATAGCGTGGTCTTCCACTAATGCTGGAGTCTGCTCCAGGACATCCAGTCAGGGTCACTGTCTCCACTGACAACTCATTCTTATCACAGGTTGCTGGAATGTCCAGCTGAGATCAGCTTCATCCAGCCGCACAGAATCAATCCAGCCTCTGGTTGGGGGAGGCACTGGGAATGTCCAGCCCCCAGAGCTGGTGGACTAGCTGAATTTCTCAGCCAGTCCCTCCTTCCTATGAGCCCCAGAGTAACCATTTACTGAGTAGCTGAGGCCCCAAATTTAGCCCCAGCCTGGAGCCTCCTCTGATCCACAGCCTTGGGAAGAGGGCTGGCCCTACCCCGAGAGGCCGGTCACGAGGCTGAGCCCAGACCACAGCTGCTCCTCCCAGCTGCGGTGGGGCCAGCCCACCAGATGTGAGGGCTGGGGGGAGGGGAGACTCAAGGCCGCCCCTTCCCGCACTGAAGGCCTGCCCACTGGACACAATGGTCTGGAGCTGCTCCAGATCCTCGCCTGCTGGGGGAGCCCGGCGTTTCCTCTGCCCACCCCACCCCCTTCCTTCCCTCCCAGCCAGAGGCAGAGTTAAAGCAGCTGCCAAAGGCCCCTTCATGTCTCATAGCCTCAGAAAGGCCCTGGAGACCCAGGTCCCCAGCTCGCAGTCTGACCCAGATACTCCCCAAATGCTGAGTGGTAACTCCCAGCCTCAACCTGAGCTCCTCCCCACTTAGAACCCTCTGCGTGTGTTGGGGCCGGGAGCAGGGTGACTGAAAATTCTGTCTACCCTAGTGCTTTCTGGTTTTCTGGAAGGGTTGGCAAACTTTTTCTGCAAAGGGTCAGATAGTAAATATTTTAGGCTTTCTTTTCAGGGCTCATTCAGCCTCTGTTATAGACGGTTCTTTGTTTTTATTTTAACAACCCTTAGAAATATAAAAACAACTCTCAGCTCAGGCTCCAAACAGGCCAATCTGGCCAGCAGGCCGTAGTCTGCTGGTCCATTTTAGAAGAAGCCAGGCCAAAATCAGGATGGGGCAAGGCAGAATGGGGCCTGAGATCAGCACCTATGACTGCCCTCTTCTCAGATCCTTCCTAAGAGGGTTGCCACTTGATAGGACTGAGATTCTGGAAGCAGGGCAGCCAGACTCAAGCAGCTGGACACAGCTTGGCTATGGTCTGGGCCCTCTGGGTTTGCTGGGGATGGGAGGGCTCAGGACCCCGAAGACTTCTCTTACTTCCTCCACCTCCTAGGTCCAGATCTCCCAGAGAGGGATAATTTGCAGGGACTGGAGGTGGATTGAGAAGCACCTGATGACTCAAAAGTCCCTACCTCCTTTCTCTGCCACCTCCTTTCTCTGCCACAGCCTACACCCCCACCTGCCCCTTACTTCAAGTGAGGGAGGCATGCTGAAAGAGTGGGAGAATGACTCCCCTGGCTAGGCTGAGATGCTGTCATGCTAACCCCCACCCCCACTCAGTCACCTCATCCTTTGGATCAGGGCAGGGGCTGGAGTAGTGGTTACTTACCGCTGCTGATCAGGACTCTGGTTGAGATTCTTCCAGCGGAATCCTGAGCCCTGGGCAGGAAGATGGAGAATTAGAAAGAAGCAGGTAAGAAAAGGGCTGTCCTTGAGCAGATGCTGAGAATCCTACTCTGAGAGGTCCCTCACCTGGGCTCCAGCCCTGGACCCAGCACTCCCTGTAGTCTGGGGCCAGTTGCACACCTGCTGTGGTGCTGGTGTAACTACTTACTGAGTGGCACTATCAGTATTACCCCATGGCTTTCTCCTGGGCTTTCTCCCTATAACTGGGACTGCAGAGACACAAGAGTCTCCTCCTGGATTCCAGATACAAGAACCTCCAAACCCATGCTGGGGGTGGGGTGGGGGTTCATTAATCTAGATAAAATAGTTTCCACCCCCAGGGTGCATGTCTGCAAGGACTCAGGCCTCCTAGACTCCTGAAAGCCAAGCCAGGCCTAGACAGGGGCTCCCCACAGGCATCCCAAAAGTGGGGCAGGGGGTCCCTGGGCTTGCTTATCAAGGCACTCCAGAGACCCCCTGCTAGTCAGGTCTCTCCTAATCTCTCAGCCACAGAAAGTGACTTGGGGGAGCAAGGGCCCAGGTCTAGAGGGCCAGCAATCCCAGCCTGACTGTGAGAAGGCAGGGGACAGAAGGGCAGACCTCCTCTAAAGTACAGGCTGTTTCAGGGACCAGCTGCTGGGCCCAGCTCAACCTGGATCTCTCAACACTGCCATACATTTGTTGCTTTCTGAGACAAAAAACCTTAGCTCTCAAATGTGTCCTTAAGTCTCATTATACTTAGGAGAGAGATTGGGAGTTCTTTCCATTTTGCTTTTTTGAGGGGAATGACAGAGCTGAGGGTTCCTGCCTCTTCAAGGCCCTGGAGAAATTAAAGCAGTTTCTCTCCGCCCTAAATTATTGGTCCTTGGAAGAAGCCCTGTCCCAGACCAGCCTTTTCCCATGTGCCCCAAAGAGCCTACGGCCTTCCTGGTTGGTGCCCTTGTTAACCTTCTTCCCAGGCTTCCCCAAGGCTACGAAGTCAAGGGGGCCCTCTTTTTCCAGAACCAAAGATTGGCCTCAGGGGTGGGTACAGTTCCCAAATGGGCCAGGGAGGAAGGACTGGGCAGCAAAGAGAGAGAGAGACCCCTTTGTCTTTCCACCCTATTTTCATAAAATGCAAATTCTCAACAAGCTGTTCATTCATTGTGTGGGGGGAGCCAGGGCCAGGGGAGGGGGAGGGGGACTGAGCGAGGAAAGGCCACCAGCCCCCTCTCCTTAACCTGGGTCTCGCGCCCCCCTTCTGAGAGCTTGGGTTTCCCTCGGGCCAGAGGAAGAACCCGCGGAGGAGGGGAGACAGAGGGCGGGCGCGGCCCG